TAAAACACTCATAAATTAAAGTTAGGGCCCTGATCCTTTCTGGAGAAATTGCTATCTAGTCCTCTGGTTTTGGGCTGAGGTTGTTGGGTGGGGCCCTTCTTCCCTGTCCACTTTGACACTGCATGGGTCTGCAGAAGAGGCCCCCTGGGCTTTGGCGCTTTCCACTGATTTCTCATTGCCAGCATGCCATGTAGACAGTGCAGGTTGCCGGAGCGGACAGTTTCTCACTTAGGAAGGTTAGGGATGCAGATGCCTTGGGGTCACCGGAGCACAATCTTACTGTCCTCTGAAGATGCTGGGGGCTTCTGTCAGCTCTATCATCTTTGTAACTTCTAGCCCTTTGACTGCCAAAAAAAGCTACTACTTTGTGGCTAATCCAAATCCGGTAATATCACTGTGTCCTGGAAGAGAAGAGGGGAGAGAGAGAGAAATGGAGAGGGAGAGTGAGAGGGAGGGGGAGGGGGAGGGGGGGGGAAGGGGGAGGGAGAGGGAAGAGGGAGAGGGAGGGGGAGAGGGAGAGAGAGAAATGAGCAAAAATGTGTCCAAAGCTCTGAGAGCCAGAATCCCCACTCCTCCCAAAAGAGCTGATTCTGACATAGAAAAGAGATGTCCTAAATATGCCTGCGCTTCTCCCTGGCCTCTGGCCCTGTTTAATAAAGATAGCTTACATGCTGGTGTGTGTTTTGTGGATGTGGCAGATTTGGGAATCTTCATGGTAATACCTCTGTTTCCCTAACAGTTTGCATTTTTATGTCACGCTGTTTCAACTTTCTTCAAAAAGCCAAAGTTGAAATTTGGAATGTTACATTACAGGTCTTTGTAGCACCTCTGCAATTTTAAATGTAAAAAGGAATAACATTGATTCAGCTTATTTTATAGCACCAGAAACTCCTGTGGTTTTCACAGGGAGAGAGTAGATGTTAGACAGAGACGACAGACTTATGCTCTGTACGCCCAGGTAGTGGGTGCTAGGGTTTTAGTCTAGGTCTGGCCACGGACTTGGCTTCAAACCTTAGGTAACTTCCTCACACTTACGGCCTCAGGGATCCTTTGCATGCAGTAGCCAGACTGATTCCCCTGGCCTCGGGGGAGTATTGAGGCTTTTGTGGGAAACTGCAGAGGAAATGGTGAAGTACCTGGCTTCAGAGGATGTCTTAACTATTAAATAATTGTACTTCCTGAGTTGTTTGGAAGAAAAGGTAGTCCCAACTCTATGGGGAATCCTGAGTAGGTTTGTAGTAAGTGCTTAGACTTAAGGCAGGGTTGAATGAATCTTATAAACCTAACTCAATCTCAGAAAGAGCCTCAGGTTGAAAGAGTGGTGAATGTAAGGATGGCGCATACCTAGTTCTCTGATGAGGACATTGGTCTGTTTTCCTCCTCTGAAGGCCAGTGGGGCTGTTTGAATTTGAGGAGTGAAAGCTAATTCCCCAGAGTGATTTGTGCTCCCTGAAAAATCACAGAAAATTCCAGGCAGTGATTTGTGCTCCCTGAAAAATCACAGAAAATTCCAGGCAGCAAGAGGGACCCTCTATGAGTGGAGGGTCCCTCTTGCTGCCTGGAATTTTCTGTGATTTTTCATGACTTTTTAAATCCATATTGTTTTCCTTGACCCATAAATAGAGTAGCAAAGTGGGTGGCAGAGGCGAGTGAGCTGAGGAGTCTTGTGGGTGGGGTGCAGGAGAGTGACGGTGTAGCACCTTCCTGGGGCTCTGCATCTTTGACTTTGGTTGGAGCGTCACAACTAGAGGAGGTCATCTCTTCCGAGGACAGCAGAGACTTGGGGCTCAGGGCCTCCGGTCTGGCTCTGTATGTATTTTCCCCGTACAGACGACTGTTTAGTGAGATAAACTATTGCTAAGAGTTGAGAGGCAGCATGAGTTGGGAGTCAAGAGCGTAGATAATGGTCCACCTGCCTGGCTTAGCATCTCAGCTCAGCCACTTATTTGCTCCTGGCCTTGGCGGGGCTCATAACCTCTCTGTGATCCTGTCTCCTTTATCACCTGATGAAGGCGTGCTCATTGCCTTCCTCCCGGAGTAGGAAAATGAGGATTATGAGTTAGTGAAGCTGTTAGAAACAGTGTCTGACACTTAGTAATTGTTTTGTATTAGCCAAATAGATAGTGTCTATTTGGTTATTAGACAGGTCATCAAAATTGATTTAGACCAATATTAATTCTTTTTTATGAACTGAGCTGTCATAAAACTTGAGTTGTAAATTTTTAGGCTGTTGTTGCTATAGATGTAATGAATTGTCAATCACTATAAGTATAAAAGGACTTCTAAGTCACTGTGTAAATGAAATCAGACCTACCTACTGGTGCTCAAAGGGTGCTCAATTTTACAAAGAAGCTGATTAGGACTATTTCATTAGTTAGCCTGATTCACAAATTTCCCTATCTTCAAACAATTTGGGGCAGGGAGAGCATGCTGAGGTTGAACCCAGGGCCATCACACTGAGCTACATCCCAGTCCTTTTTAAGTTGTTTTTTTTTCAATTTTGGGACACAGTCTCCCTAGGTTGCCCTGGTTGGGCTTGAACTAGTGTTCCTCCTGCCTCAGTCTCCCGTAGTGCTGGCATTAAGGCTGTGCACCACTAGCCTGGCTCAAATAACTTTAATGAAAAACATGTAAGACCAGTGGCAACTCCAGGAAGGAGAGGGCTGAGCTTAGACAACTCAGAAACCAACTGGGTAACGCCAGCATGCCGCTTGGGAGGTACCTCTTAGGTGGAGTGATTGGGTCCTTGCCAAAATTAACAATTGAGATGAAGGAGTCTTATTTTGATGCCATCTGTGAATAATAAAACACAAGACATAATTGGCCTTAGATTACTACTCAGATTGAAAACAAAGTACTAGGTTTGTGACTTGTATTTTTTGCAACTCCAGGAATTGATGTCTGTACATTTACAAAGATGAATTTTGACTATCCTACTATTTTTAGCTTATTTGGGCTAGGAGGCATGAGAAAGGAAGAACACAGACTTTAATATGTGTGCTTATCCCATGAGCAATATTTGGTTCTAGATAAGTAGAGAAAAAATTCACATAGCTGAAGGAGCCAATGTCTTTCTAGTTCAGTCTTGAATTACTGTGGCTGACTCTTAAAAATTGCAAAAACCCATTAGCTGCTTTCTGCAATCTCTGGAATGTAGCTCTGTGTTCAGGAGAGAATAATGCATGGGGAGGAGGGAATTGTCCTCTTTATTTTTAGAAAAAACAGTGGCAATATGGGAAAGATGGTTTTGTTTTCTTTCAGTCCTGGACATGATTTTTTTTTAACTCCTAGTCCCTGTAAGAACTCACCCACACTAGCAAGAGCATTGGTTCTGGGCGACGGAGTTGCGTGGCTAATGTCAGTGCTGCAGGCCTCACCCGCTGGCAGCTGAAGCTGCCCTGTTCCATTCTACTCTGCCATCTTAGGGGTGCAGGGCAAACGCTGAGACAGTGACCTTCCGATTATATTTACTGGCCACCTGCACCACTTCCCCTCGTAGCTCAGCTTTGCTGACAGATGTGAACGCTGAAGAAATAGATGTAGGAGCAGGAGCCTCTAGATTCTTTTTAAAACAAAGAGACACCTTCTCTTAAAAGATGGCCATTCCTTCTAACCTTGCCTTTTCAAAAGCTCACGTTATATGTCCACAAATTCTGCTCTGACTTCTCCTCCCTGTTGGCATTTGTGTCTCAAGCTGGAGACAAAGAGAGTGTGAAGAGGCAGCTCTGTTTGGGTGTGGAATGCAGCCAAAGGAAACCCAGAATGTGGCAGGAATGACCGGATAACAGTCTCTACCTCTTGCCGAGAGTGGGCTTCTGAGATGCTGCTGACTATGGATGTGAGCAGGCGTGCACTCCTCAAGCTGTAAGGTCCCTCAAGTACCTAGTTGTTTCTCATTTGCACAGCTGTTCTGGGCCAGCCCAGGGCCAGGTGACACCGGTTGCTGGCCTCCAAGGAGCTCGGTGTGTTTTCATATCCCCAGCCAGGATCAGGATACAACGTGGACCACATGTAATTAAGCACTAAATTGTGTGGTGCAGCAGAAATCAATAACCCCTAAAGTTTCCTAGAGTAAGAATTGTTTGTACTGCATGATGAGTTCTGTGTGGCTCTATCTCATAGACAAAGACACAGTTATAGCTGGAATATGTTCACAGTGAAAGTCTTTTATTTAAAAATTACACCTAGGGCTGGGACGTAGCTTAGTGGTAGAATGCTTGCGTTGCATGAAGAGGGCCCTGGGTTTGACCTCCAGCAAAAGTAGAATAGTCTGTATCCTTGTGGTAAACATTTGAACATTTGCTCTAGTCAGCCTTAGTTTTTTCTCCATATAATGTTTTGATTACTATAAATTGCCCATTTCTTTTTTTCTGGGAACTTGGACAATAATGTTATCAAGTGAGTCTAAAGAAACACCTTTAAGTTATTGGGATTCCACAATTGTTGGCTGCTTGGATTCTGGGACAAAAATCACTGGCTTTGAAAATAAAACATTAGACTTTATGATGTTGTTTTTAAGCTCACCATCTTTAAACTAGAGATCAAGCCACAAACCAGTTGTCACAGATTTAGCATAATTCTCAGCATTTCTTGACCACTTATAGTATGCACAGCCCAAAATGATTATCTTAGGGAATCATGGTCACCTCATAAAGGTGACCCAGCCGACCTACACTGGTTTATTCTTGTAGCTGCAGTGTCAGGTGGTAATTCAAGTGGGACTATGTATACCTCTACATTGCGAGAGTTCTTGCTCTGTGCCTGGCACCAACTCCTTAGGGCTCTCAGCAACCCTGTGAGGTACCTCATATTGCATCCTTTAAGGGATGAATGAACTAAGGCTCCTAAGTCATATAACTTCTCCCAGATATGACTGTGGGGTTGGTGTTGGGTTTTAAACTTGGATTAACCCGATTCTGAATACAGGTATTAACTCATTGTACCGGGCAATGCACTTTGCAATGCTGAGTGCTGAGCTTTTGTCATTTTCTCAACAGACTCCCCAAAATGAAACCTGGAGGCTTTTGGCTGCATCTCGCACTGCTCGGGGTCTCCCTGCCTGCTGCACTGGGATGGATGGACCCAGGAACCAGGAGAGGCCTGAACGCCAGTGGGGGGGAGTCACAGGCAGAGGTATGGTCAAATAACTGCTGACATGACCTTTCACAGTGATTGCTTTTCGACGGTACAGTATCTGATTTCCCTTCCACTTTTAGTTCAGATCAATTAGACCACCATGTGAATTAAGATTGCACTTCTTTTGTGGAGGGGGACAAAGGGAGGCAATATGTATTGCTACGGACAGGGGATTTATATGGTGATGTGAGTAACGGCTCCAGAATCGCTCAAATGCTGCAAATGCATTCCCAAAGCAAGCTTTCGTGACACTTCATCTGCCACATAGACCCTCAAAAGCATGGCCCTTCTGTATATTTAATAAAACAAAGAAAATACAGATGGACTAATGGTATGCACCCAGCCAAATAATGAAATATTTTAATTATGAAATATGTTTTAAAGGAAATGGATGACTTTTTGGGTATATAGATAAAAAGAACCAGGCTGAGAAAAGAACCGGCAAGTGAGGGCCCTAAGGGAGAACACTTTAATGAACAGATAAGAATGATGAATGGCTTGCTAGGTATATATAAACGCTTCTAAAGTACTTAAAAAATTTGCTCTCAAATGCCTCCCCCAAGGGTCTGGATGTCCTGCTAATTACTTAGTGAACCCTGGTCCTAAGTACGGAAGATGAGGCTTCGTAAAGTATACCCCACCCCTGCTCATGGTACTGGGCTCCAAGAATTTGAAGTTCATCTGGAATGCAGATTTTTTTTTCTTTTTTTTTTTTTTTGCAGAAAATGCTTTGCGTATGCTAAACCTTAAGAAATGACTACACCTTTTCATTCAAACCACCTGGGATTTTTCTCTAAGCCATGATGCATGCTAATTCTTATCAGGGGCTTTTCAGGCACACTCCAGGCAGGCCCATCTCATTTTTTCTGTACCTGTGTCCCATCCTTTGGGATGAGAAATAAAAATTACCTCCAAAAGTCAACATTCCCGGAGAGTGAATAATGATATATAGTGTATAGTAGGATTAATGCATTATTTGATCAAAAGACATGAGATCTCTTCCATTACTACTTAATTGTCGTGCAATCCCAAGCCCGCAAGCCTTAGTCTTTGGGGAGCCTCAGAAGTAATTTAATGCACACTTTTCTTGCTGAAGTTGGTGTGGTGTGCTTTTGTGGCCAGATGACTAAATGGTAACACTACCTCTCCGTCTAAATCCACGAAGGACACACTTAATGCTCCTGTAAGAGTCTGGTGGCAGACGTGCTGGTGAGAACAGCATTTCCCATGTGGGAAGGGCTTCATCATTCCGCTTCTCCCCACACAAAGGCAAGATGATCACTTACCTGCTACCTATGGACTGCTGACTGTTTAACAGCAAAGCAAACAGGCAGACCGCCAGGTATGCTCAGTCTTCTTGCACTTGGGGCTTGTTGGCCCACATCTTTTATCATTTATTTCAATTAAGATTCAAGCCAATTAAGGGAAGATTTTCCTGGAGGTAAATTGAAGGTGAGTTAATATTACCTGGGGCACTCTTCTCTGAGCTGTTAACACCGGAATACCTTGTGTACCCCTGAGAACTTGCAGACGCTCCTCACTGTGAGGAGGGAAAGCTTTTCAGTTTGGGGTTGCTTCGTCTCTCCCAGCTCTTGTCTCCCAAGTTCAGGAATGTAGCTGCTTTGGGAAGGGGGAGAGATGACTCTGCACTGTCCCAAATGCAGGAACAACCGTTCTACCGATCGTACTTTTTGGCTATAGCTTTTGTTGTTGCAGTGTTTCGACTTCTCCTCTTTGAGCCTGCTTAGATCCATGATTAATGAGATGATGACCCTGGGTGCGGGCATAGTGCACAGCGTGACCTCGGTGAGTGTTTGCCTGCAGAGAGCAGAACATTTATTTTCATGGACTTGGTCACACTCCATGCAGACCCCCTCCCCGTGCCCTTGCTCACTAGGATCCTCCTGCCTGGTCTGCGGTCTTTCTCTCCACATTTCGGCATGTTCCCTGCTTTTTTTCCCAGGGTACACTCTGGTTGTTCCCTTTTTTCTAGAATCTTCTTTGACACCTCCTCATCCCTTTTTCTGAGCTCTTGGTCCTTCTACCTTTTCTTTCTTTTAATTTTAGCATATGGATGAAGCCTGTCTTATTCATCTTACTCTTCCTTGTGGTGTCTTCTAATTTCATGGGCAAAATAGAAGCTCGCTGTGTTTTTAAGATGATCAGTACTTACTACCACACTCAGTCAGGAAGTCACCCCAGTGCTTTTAAGGGTCAGGCTAGACCATCAGACCCTGAGTGGGTGGCGCACTTCCTTGCCTAGCCAGGCCTTTTCTGCTTGGGATATGACTGGTCTCCCCTAAGAACTGCTAGCTGGTCGCAGGCCAGGCACACCTGCCTCTGTTCAATACCCAACACAATACTTGTGTGAAATGATTTCTGGATAGTTTCATCTTTGAATTCCAGCTATTAACATATCCATATTTCACTGTCCAAGCCGTATTAAAGTCTTTCGGTAGTTTCCTCAGGCCGTTTTATTTTCTGCAAGAATCAAAACCAGCACACTTTCCTGAGATGCTAAATAAGTCAAAAACTTTCCTGAGGAGCTCAGCAGCAAAACTCTTCTCTATGTGCTTTCTTCCTGATAGTGGTACTTCTCAAAATATTCATTATAGTTTTCAAAGTCCTTGGAAAGCATTAATAAGATATGATTTGTCTTTAAAGTTATTATACCAATTACTTGAATGTCCTGAGGGTAAATAAGGATTAAATGACCAGTGGGCATGTGTTTGCATATTTTAAAAATAATTATAGTGAGTGTGGATTTTATCAAATTATTGTTTTATGTACAAAGGGATGGCGTTAGGATAGCTCCGAGAAGTTTATCATTTTATAGCTGTAGATAAAAAGAAACTTAGCTGGGTGGAGTGGCTCTTTAATAAGAGTTGAGGAACAGAACGTGGCCTGGAATGCTAATACAGTTCTGGGGGTGCAGTCAGCTAAGGTTCTGGAATAGCATTTTAATTTCCTCCTTTTCCTTTTATTCTGGCCAAGATACATAAACTACATGCTGAGCATCCGTAACCTGTGACCTGCCAGCTGTCCAACACGTTGATGCCACAAGTGGAAAGTTGGCCTCGTGGGATGGGTTGCAATTAAAACTGAGGTGCACTGAAAATACTGTCTAAAATTGCCCATGTCGCTGTGCGAGAGAAATAAGTTTTGTGTTCAGACTTGGGTCCTAGCCCCCAAATATTCCACATGAATGCAAATATTTCAAATCAACAGTAACAACAAAACAAATCAGAAACACTTTTTGGTCCCAAGCACCTCAGATAAAAATACTCAACCCGCAGTAGAGTCAGTATTGGGAGAGTTTTCTATCTCAGAGAGTCAAGGGACCGGGGAAATGTGAGCAGTGATGTGGGGTGGTCCCTACAGGGCCAACCTGTTCTTGAGGTGGTCATGTGTGGGAGCCCCCCGTGGGCACTGAGTGCTGCAGTGGCATGGGGCGGCACCCTTCCCGACCTGGTGCACCCTTCCTGCTTTTGCTTCATTTTTTCTGAGAAGCTCTTGCCATGGTTGTGTTGGCAGGGGCTGCATGGCTGTAAATATAAATGCTGACGCTGCTTCCTTAAATTGTTTGTCTCATGTGCCTCAGGGCTTGCAGACCAGAAAGCTTGGAGGTAGCCACTGCGTGTTTCCAATATTTGCAAACTCAAGCAAAGTCTTTGAGGAAAACACAAGCGAGGGTGGCATCAGTTGACTCCAGTGCGATTCTCCTTCTCTCTGGCCCCAGGAGCATCTGAGCAAGTGACAGCTTGACTGCTTTGCACACAGGTGGGCCCTGGATGTGCCACCCTTATCCTTGCCAGGTGGCTTTGAATGCTTGCCTTGGTGGGGCATTCAGGAGTACTTGGACTGTTAGATTGGGTGTTAATCTTTTCAAAAATATTTTGTCATTTTTCCATCTTACTGACTTCAGGGCAACACTCCCCGCCTTTGCTAGTGGAGTTCTTCCTGGGATTCCTGGGTGGTCACTGGTCATCTGTGAGGTCGAGGCCACTCTCTTGGTGTCTCTACTCCCCCTGGTGCCGCATCCCCATCTGTGGACATGAAGAAAAGAAACTCCTTCCTCCCTGAGAACATACGGAGGTCCAGGCTGGGTGCTCGGCATGTTCTTAGGCTTTACTTGCAGCCCAGATCTGGCGTATCTCCCGTGTGCGTCTCTGCCATATCACCTGTCCTAAGCTCTCAGTGTCCTAAGCTCTCCAGTACTGGACTTGCTTTCAAAGACGCTGAGACTCTGGGTGGTCTCTCAGCACAAGAGGTGGTGGCCGTGGGTTACCTACTGCACCTGTTGCAGGAGGAGCCTCGCTTCCACTGCAGGTGTAGTGCTCTGGGGGACAAGGGGTCCTCAGCATTTACTCATGGTACTTTGCTAACTGTTCTATGTCAGGATCTATTAGTCAGTTTTCTGTCACTGTGACAAAATAGCAGAAAGAAATCAACTTGAAGGTGAAAAGATTTATTTTGGTTAAAGGTTTTAGAGGCTCCAGTCCAGAATCACTTGACTCCTTCAGCTGGGGACCCAAGCCTTCCACCTGTGAGTTTTGGGAGTGGGAGAGGTCATTTAAAATCCAAACTCTAACCCAGAGCATGTGTTATAAAACTTTCCAGAGCATGAGAAACTAAAACTTTCTCAGATAAAATGAGGAGGGTACAACTTCCCACCTGCAGGTATATGAGTGCAGTGACTGCATACGTCATTTTCCAGGCCAAGGATGGCAGCAGATCCGCCCAAGTGTGTCCCCACTTGCAGAGTTAGTGCCGCTGTGTCCTGCCTCGGGGCCTCCCAAGTTTCTGTGTGCTTGCTGGCGTCTGGCTCTTGTTATGGTGTGAGTCCGACGCAGTTCTGAAAGGCTATTGCTTTTCTCACAAGCTCTGGGTGGTGCTGGGCAGAACAGCTCTAGAGGAGTCCCTTGGGCACGCATTCAAGGAGCAGAACCCAGCTGGGTTGATCCTGGCCCCGGAGAGCATTGGCGAACATGGTGATG